CCTGGGGCCGAGATCGGGAGACACGTGGACTATGAAGACGCGAGTCTGCATGGTCATGAGCTTGTAGAGCTCCTCTCCGATTTGGTCGTCGGTGGCGGACGGCGAAATGGCGCTGCGGTAAGGGACGCGGGCGTCGACGGCTTGGAGGGAGTCGACTAAGGAAGGGATGATGCCTTGGCCGAAGGCGTCGTCGACGTAGATTGGGACGGCCTGCCGCCAGCCGAAGGCCTTGAATATGGCGGCGACGGCGTGGACTTGGGTGGAGTCGTTTTGTACGGCGCGGAGAAGTACGGGCTGCCGATGGAAGCGAGGGTTGGGCTTGTTGCGGAGAAGGAGACGATGGGACGTGGGCTTTTTCTCCCAGCGGGATGAGGAAGTTGGCCTGCATCGATGTGTCCTGGGCCGAGGATAGCTTGGACCTGCACGTTCTTTATCAAATCCAGGGCTGCCACGTGTGCGTTTGCAGGAGGACGTCAGTGGATGAGAGGGTAGTACACGAGAGGAAAATATACATATGGCCGGTTTAAAGAAAAAAGTCAAAATACGAAATAAGAAATAGTTAATATATATTTTCATCAAATAGATTCCAACTATCTATACAATTCAAGGTAGGTATTGATAAGAAAAGAATCAATGTTGGTGCAGTGTTGTTTTATTATTAATATTATTATTCTTCTAGATTTAATAGTGTTGTGCAGATCGAATCGAATTAGTTGGTCCGACTTGAAAATCTGACAATCATTCATCTATACGGTTTGACTTGGTCAAACGTGTGATTTGTTTTATGCTGCCAAATATAACTTACCTTTTTATTTAGAAACGATACTTGGTTATACAAAAAAGTTTTGTATGCACTCAAGTTTCCAACTCAAAACTACTATATGTCGTTGCACATAAAAAAAAATTATGAAAAGTTGTTATGTGCCTACCTAGTTGAGTTTTCAGTCCCGACCAATTTATTTATTACGGTGATAATGATGCTGCAGACTCACTAGTGAAAAAAATTATTGACCATTAGTTTTAACGATCAACATAGATTTCGGGCTAAATCTGTCAATTAATTTGAAAAGTCGGTCACAAATGTTTTATTGGAAATTTTGGATCAAAACTACACTTACGCCAAACTTCGGGCCAAACTAGGGTATTAATCCTTTATTTTATGATGCCATATAACTTACCTTGTTATTTATAAACGATATACTTAGTCATACAAAGTTTTGTCTAGTAGATGATATAAACTTGTCATCCTTAAGCTATAGTAAATTATATCGCATGCACCCGAATTCCAACTCGAAATTACTATATATCGTGGCCCCGAAATTCAAATAGCACATAAAAATATATCATGAAAATTATTTGTACGTACCCAGTTTAAGTTTTCGGTCCCGAACAATTTATTTATTGCGGTTTAGCATTTATAGACTAGTATACTATAGCTAGTAGAAATGCTATTTATTCATAGATAGGAAAGATACCTTACTACCTTAAGCCTAGGTTGGCATATGCATTGACTTCATCACTGCTTATTTGGCTTAAATTCAGCAGTAGTTTTTGGCATACATGAGACAAAGTCGTTGTTTGCTGCTAGCCAGTAGCCACTACTACTATGTACTTACGTACGAAGCTGTTGTTGTTTGTGGAATTTTCTTTTTTGTGTTATTATGGTACTCTACTCTACTCGTCCGTCGCTATTATCTCTTTAAAAGAACAAGTTACAAGTTTACTGTTTCTTAGAGTCACATCAAAACACTGTCACTTGGTTTGCTTTTTTGCCTCTTGTTCTCCTTTCTGATTGGCCCTTCTTCTGAGTACTGACATCCATAGGTGGCTCTCTTTTGTAATTAACCATTAACCAAGGTTTTACTGAGGACGAAAAATGCACTGATGTTTCCTTTCTTTGCCAGATTTTAGCTGAGTCTTCGTTTGTAATCATTGCTTTCCTCTCTCTGGTCTCTATGCTTTTTGCCTGGGTTGCTTCGCCAGCGACTTCTCTTCTCTCTGCAACTGATCGGTTTTCGGAACTCCTCACCTTTCCCCTGGAAATGACAGGACTGCCGCTTCCTTATCTGTTCCTTTCCCCACAAAAGTCTTGTTTTGCTTTGCTACCTTTCATTTATGCTTCTCACAGACTTTCCCTCTTCTATCTTGCTTTCTTCTATTGCTCTTCCATGGTGACCCATAAATTGCTTCTTGACCTCAGCGACTCCGATGGCCCTCAGACTCTTCTGAAGCTGCGCCTCCTTAATGCGTGGGGGTCTTATGGTCTGAAGAATCCTAAATTAATCTTCAACTACTGCACTCTTTGGAACGATGAGGAGGTTAGCGCTGCTTTTCTGTTTTTTTTTTTTGCCATGCAATTTTGCGCCTCCCTTTTGTTTGCAGCCCTCTGATGTTCGTGTATTTCCTGCCCAGGGTACTTTGATTCAGGGCACAGCTCCGTCGGAACTCACGCGCCATTTTGCTCCGCTTCTGCAGTTGGGTAGCGTTTACTTCGTTAGCAATTTCCGCGTCAAGCCACCGTCCCCTTCGTATCGTTCTTGCTCTCATAAGTTGACCATCGTCCTCTCTGCCGCTACACAGTTCGAAGACGTGACCCGTTCGTCGCCTTCATTCTGGCCGGATGCGTTTGAATTTACCCCGTTCAGTTCGCTTCATTCCCGCATACGTTCATCGGTTTATCTAACAGGTCTTATTCTGTGTCCTTTACGTCTCTTGCTGTTCGTTTTATAGTGTACTGAATAACATCCTTTGCGTTCTTCTCTTGCTTGCGGCTCTGTCAGATGTCGTTGGCGCTGTTGTTAGCATCACAGGCGTTTCTAGCACCGTCACTTCATTCGGTACCACTGTGCGTAGTGATTTGGTGCTTCAGAATGAAAAGTATGTTACACATGCACACCACTTCTTTATCGACTATAATACACCTGTTACTAACTTTCGGTGTTTCGTTGCCCAGTCACATGTTTCTTGATATCAGCCTGTGGAGTGAGATAGCTCGGAATCTCAATGGTCAGGAACTGGCTGTCCTTGGTCGTTCTGGGCCAGTTATGCTAGCTGTTTCCTCACTTCGGGTCACTGGCGCTACGAAAGGTCTCCATATACCTTACCGCCGCAGGATTCTCCCTTTCATTTCCCTTCCTCTTTTCCTCATTAACTTTACCCCTTTTGTAGGAGGTTACTCTCTTACCAGTACTCCAGGCACACGTTGTGTTCTCAACCCTGTTTCTGAAATGGCTCACCTGGTCCAATCTGTGTATGCCTCTTCTTATCCTTATCATATTTTTTTTCCCTCAGCATCGTCAGTTGTCTTTTTGTTCCTGCTAATTTGTTGCGTTCCTTGCTTTTGCTTTCGCTAGGTTCTTTGCCAGCACTAATACATGTCAATATTACCCTCCGAGGTTTGCAACTCCTAATGAGGCAGCGGCTTTTGAAGCTGAATGTACGAAGACTGTAGCACAGCTCCTTGCCTTGTGTTTTCCACCTGCTGCCGATGTATGTTCCTTCCCCTTTTGCTCTCCTGCTTACCTGCTTCTGTTCCTTTCACTTCATTTGTTTGTCCGTCTAATCGTTTCTTCCGTTTCCTTTTGTGTAGTCTACGCGTTACCATTGCTCTGGTCGGATCGTCTCGGTTGATTCTTCTATGCAGTGGTATTACTTGGGTTGTGCGCTTTGTTCCAAAGCAGCCATAGATTATGATGGTGTTGACAAATGGTGTGATGACCACCGTCGATTGGTGCCTCAACAAACACAGAACTTGTAATTCCTTTCTTCATTCTTGCCCCCATACCTTTTGCCTTTTCTCGTGTCCTTACATGCTCCTGTACGTGTTTTGTGCAGTTACAAGCTCCGGGTAACAGTTGATGACAACACTGGATCAGCAGCTTTTGTTCTGCTGGGTAGGGCCGCTGACCTTCTTGTGGGCTTGACTGCTAACGATCTCTCTACCAGGTTTCCTTACCAGCGCAATGTTTTGCCACAAGAACTCCTGGCTCTTGAAGGGCGAGACTTTACTTTTGACGTCCAGCTTCCAAAACCGGAATATGGGTCTCGTGGCCCCCCAGAGTTCACGGTCCTTGCTGTCACTGAACAAGAACAACCAAATTCCTGCTCACCAGCTCTTGGTCGCCGGGCAAGAAATGCTATGTCCCATACACCACCTCCTAACAGGTATTTAAATGTCCTGACTTTTGTGGTACGTTTTCCTTTTGTCATTACTAATCGCTGCTTTCCGTTGCAGTCCTCACAAGATGCCTCTTGCTTCTCCATATGTTGTTCCAACAATGCCGAACGCTTCGGTAGACCATGGTCCTTCTGTTGCTTCACCGAGGTTATGCTTCCATTTTACATGCCCTCTTTTCCCTGATTGTTCTTTGTCTTGAACTCGGGTTTCTTCTTAAATTTGCAGTGGGAGTTCTCAGCTTGCATTTTCTACTCCTCCACGTCGCCCCTATAGCAGGTTGTTTCTAAAATTCACTTTGCTTTACAAAATTGACAGCGCTCCTTTGGACGCTGTCGTACTCTTCCCAATGTGTTGACATTTCTTTCCCATGCGTTGTTTACCATCAATTTCCAGTAGCCGCATCGCTGCTGTATCTTCGCCCTCATCTGCTGCATTAGGAAGGTTGTCTGTTTGTTGTCTGCTTTGCTAGCTTAGTTCTGCTTATACACGTTCTTAAGTCGTTTCCTGACATGTTTCTTTTAAACATCAGTTCCGTACCTTCTTCTCCCGAACTTAGTCGTACTGAGATTGTTTCCTATGCGCGGTCAGTTTCTTGCCTTTTCCTGTATTACCTCAATCGTTCGACTTTACGCCTGCTGATATTTGTCACTGTCTCTTGCACACCCGATTTTACTGCTTCGTAGGCCTAGAAGTGAGGAAGTGCCCCCAGAAACTGCACCACAGCGAACCCCACAGTACTTTCCCTACTGTTAACTTACTTACTAGCTTTTATTGTCTCTTCTTTCCTTGCTGAGCAGCTCTGTATCAGGGAACTTGCTGCGGACACTACAGATGCTAATGTGCAGAACAAGAACATCAGTTCAAAGAAAGCGAAGCCGAAGAAACCATCTGCTAAGAAGAAGTCTCTCTGCCCTTTATTACTTGCTATGTTTCTTGTACCAAATTTACCATATCCTACATTAGGTCTTCAGTTCCTATTTACCTTGCTTCTGCTTGCGTACTGGCAATTTACTTGGTTGTTGTGCAATCTCTTAAAAAAATGTGCCCTGCTCCCTACCCATTTCCCAGTGTTCTTTCGTTTTACCACTTACTTGGTTGTTAACTGTGCATACGCCACTATTGCCTCTTGGAATCCTTGTGTTTATCATAGTATCCTGCAGTGTACTTCGATTTACTGGCCTTACCTTCTACAACTTTGTTTAACTTTTGCAGGAAAACTGGTGCTGCAGGTGCTGCGCGTCGTCCTACAGTTACTCTTGAAGAAACCGATGTTCCGATAGCGTCCCTTCAGATCCCTGTTGGACATCCTTTGCCAACCGAATCGGCGAATCCTGTCTCTGGAAATCTTAATGCCCTCGGTGTCAATTTGCAGACAACAACAATTCAGCCTTTGTCACAGTATGTGTCGTCCTAATTATCTTTCTGCCAGTGTTGTCTGCTCCCTAAGATTCCAGTTTGCATGATTTTTGTGCCCTTTTAAAACTGATCAAAGATGGTTTCCAGCCTGCACAAAATACTTATTTTTGACGGGAAAGAACTGTAAACAATGCTTTTACATTTACCTTGGTCTTGTGCTTTTATACATGGTTCTATGTCGTTAACATAAAGTACAATAGCCGATGGATGGCCTTTTGTACCCCTTTCTTCGACCTTCGCTAACTTACACGTGTTTACAGTTTGCAGACGCACAATGTTACCTCTCAGTGCCATACTAATTATCTACGAATGTGTTACCTTTTTTTAAATACAGAACAAAATAAACAAATAGTTGTAGCTTTTGCTTACTTGGTCAGCTTCAAATCAATTGTTTTCCCACAGATTGAAGTAATAATCGTCTTTACTTTATGGAGATCCCTTGTGCAGTTTGTTCTTTGTTGTTAGCCATTGTCTTATTCTTGATTTACAAGTTGCTGCCGCATTGCATAGGAATGTGCATGTTTTCCCATATAGATGTGTTGTTAAAGACCTACTTCCTCTGTTTCCTTTTCTAGGCAACCTATGTCTATAAATCCTGCACCTGTACGGCGCCGTCGCTTGGTTGTTTATTCTGATGAAGACGAACCTGTTGTCCCTTTGGAACTGCAAGACTTGGATGTTGAACTTCCACTGCAAGAACAGCCTGTTGGAAACTCTTCGACTTATCCTGTTCCCACTGTTGACGTTCCTTTGCCTTCTCCTCTTCTTGCTGTCCAAGAAGTTCCGCTACTTTCAGTGGGGAAAACTAATTCTGGGAGGGCAAAGCGAATCAGAACACCGTCTACAAAGGCCATTGAAGCATCTGTGGATGCTTCTAAGAGAAAGCCAAGAACTCCAAAATCGTCTGCTAAGGAACCTGCTAAGAAGCAACTGTTTGCTGATTAACCGTGATTCGCACCATGCGCGTGCTAATGTACCATGTTTGTCCAGTACTGTCCCTCCCTTCCTTTTGTAGAACTGTTTAAGGGGAACACTATTTAGCGAGTAGTGCATTCTGTACTCTTGCCTTTTTGTCTGAATGTTGCAACCTTTGGCACACCTGTGGTGTTCCATTACTGGCACCACTGTTATCAATCTGCTCTGCTATGACATTTGACTTGTATTGGTTACCTCTTGGTACAGATTACCCCTTGCGTACCTGCTTTCTAACCAGGTCTATGTCGTTAATATAAAACACCATTTGGGCATGGACTCCTTTAAGTGGCATAGTATTGCGCCACTCTGCAACTGATCTTTATTTTGTGCTAAGGATCTGTTGTACTTTGTATCTTCATTTGTTGCGCGAAAATTCGCCGTTTAGGCCGCATTCGCATCGCGCCTGTGTCCTCTTCGTTAGTCACTTGTTTTGCTCTGTATTCGCAGGTGGCCATTGCCTGTTGTAAATGGCCGCTTTGAGGACCAAATTGTGCACACATTTTTTCGGTTGCAGGGTATTTAGGTGGTGTCCTACCAGCCACACAGTAACTAGATATTTTGATTGTCCACTAATACCATGCCTTTGTTTATTAGCTTCCATAGACCCACATTATAAACTTATTTCTCTTCTATTAATTGCCATCATGCATTTATTATTCTGACTAGGCTGTTCACTAATGATGGCTTTATTACTTCTCACTTCTCTAGACTAGCCTGCTATGGTGCATGTTGTATTATTATACATTTTCTTAAGAAGGATATTTTTCCCTGGAAACATCGTTTACCTGTAGACTGTCTTCTTCCATAACTGCTTCCCCATTACTGCTCCTTTTTGCTCATTTTGTCTTTGCTGTTGGTCATTGAATGCAATTCTCTGCTGCATCTGCTATACCATTACCTGGTATCTGCCTTCCTCTGCAATTCTGCCAGTTTTGTTATTCCACTGTACCCGTTTAGAAGGCGTGGCATGGTTAGTTTGGTCAATTTATTACTTTTATCTTGCTACGTTTACCATTGTTTCCTGTACCATGCTACGCTTGTGCCATAGTTTGCAGGTCTTTGTTTTTTTTGTAACGTCAGTGTGTGATCTCAGGCCACTCCCAGACAGGCTGCACTCCTGTTCCCCGGTCGTTCTGCGAATAGGAAGCGTCGTCATATTGGTCTTTCCACTGAATTTGTGCCTACCACGCCTCCTTCGAGAAGTTCTGTGAGGCGTCGTGCGTGCAACTTTGATAGACGGGGACGCTTGCACCCACTGCTTGATTCAGAAGGTGAACTTGACTCATCCGAACTGGACTTAAGAACTCCTGAAGACTTAACAGCCAGTTCGCAGACTCAGCCTCCTGTTGCGTTGGATGGTGATTGTTCGTTGCCTGATGTGACTCTACCACCTTCACAACAATCAGACTTCAGTCGAATTATCGATCATGGTTTCCCTGACTGTGAATGCCAATACTGTGGTGCACGGTTCTGGTATGAAGAGCGGCTTAACAGGCATGCATCTCTTGCTCCTGTTTTCACGCTTTGTTGTCAAAAGGGACGAGTACGCCTCCCATTCCTACAGGAAACTCCTCAGTACCTTGAAGACCTCTTGGGTGTTAATGCCGGTCCTATGGCAGCGCACTTCAGGGAACATATACGCTCCTATAATGCTGCTTTTTCTTTCACATCTTTTGGAGCACGCCTTGATCCGAGAGTTACACGTTCACGAGGACCTTATTCATTTGTGATATGCGGAGAAAATTATCATCGAATGGGATCTTTGCTTCCTGCTGCAGGCCAGAGACCTAAATATTCTCAGCTATACGTCTTTGACCCGCAGACCGAACTAGCAGATCGACTCTCCAATTTCTCTTCTGCTGAAAGGTCCCTGCGTCCTGATATTGTTTCTGGTTTAATGAAGCTGTTTGACGTGACAAATGAATTAGTTAAGTCTTTTAGACGCATTCAATCTGAATTGAATGATCCAGCATCAATCAATTTAAGACTGCGTATTGTTGGTGCACGGGACACAACATCTCGACAATATGAACTTCCAACTGGTTCAGAATTGGCTGGACTCATTCCTGGTGATTTCTTGCCTGATAAGGAAGAACGAGACATCATTATTGATCATCGGTCAGAGGGCCTGAAGAGGATCACAAGTGTACACCCGAAGTTTGATGCTTTGCATTTTCCAGTCCTTTTCCCATACGGAGAAGATGGATTCCATGTAACCATACCGTATGATCCTGTTCATACTCCCAAAACATTGAAAAGGAAACATGTGACTCAGAGAGAGTACTATGCTTACCGGCTTCAGCACAGAGACGACGAAGGTCAGACATTGATGCGAGGTGGGAAGGCACTTCAACATTACGTGGTTGATGCATATTCCACAATTGAACAAAACCGACTCTATTATTTGCGATCGCATCAAGAAAACCTCCGTTCTGAACTATACTATGGCCTTACAGATGCTTTCAACAGAGGTGATGTTACAGGAGATGCTGTTGGCCATGTTGTTCTGCCATCATCGCATACTGGAAGTCCTAGGTATATGAAGCAACTATACTTAGATGCAATGGCTGTTGTCCACCATCATGGCAGCCCCGACCTATTCATAACCTTTACGTGCAACTCCCAGTGGCCAGAAATAACAGAATCTTTCCGCACTGTCTGTGGTGCACGCAGCGAACTAAAACCAGAGATTGTTGCTAGGGTCTTTCGCATGAAACTGAATGCACTGGAAGATGAATTAACACGAGGCCATTTTTTTGGTCAAACAGTGGCAGGTTTGTTCGGTTGCCTTCTGTCTTACTTCCTTTTACAATTGCCTGTTATCAATTCTCCTTTTCCTGTTACTCTAAACTTCCTCACTTACCTCATGTTTTGTGCTCTAGCATAAATGACACATTTCGTTGCCTTATAATTCCAGGTATCAAAACCGTCGAGTTTCAGAAACGGGGTTTGCCCCATGTTCATATACTTTTATGGTTGGATGCAAAGAATAAGCTACGACAAGCTTCTGATATTGATGCAACTGTTAGTGCTGAACTGCCAGATCCATTACTAGATCCAATTGGGTATGATGCTGTGACAAAGTTTATGCTGCATGGTCCGTGTGGTCAAGATAATCCGACCAATGTTTGCATGAAAGAAGGATCGTGTTCAAAGTATTTTCCAAAACCGTTTAATTCAGAAACTACAACGGACCAGTTTGGCTATACAGTCTATCGCCGTCGCGATACAGGTATAACAGCAGTGAAAGGTACAGCTATACTAGACAACCGGTTTATCGTTCCATATAATCGGAATTTACTTGTGCTGTTTCAAGCTCATATCAATGTCGAGGTCTGTCATCAAGGCCGCTTGATTAAATATTTGTTTAAGTACATTACAAAAGGGCCTGATAGATCCATGGTTCTTGCTGAAACTGCTGGCTTGTCTGTGTCTGATTCTGCTACCCCAAACCATATCCCTCCATTGGACGAAATTAAACAGTTTCTTGATTGTAGAAGTCTGTCTTCATATGAGGCAGCGTGGCGGATCTTTGAATTCCCTGTTCATGAACGAACACCGCCGGTTCAGCGGTTGTGCGTTCATCTTGAAGGGAGACATTATGTTCCTTATAGGAAGAAACAACGGCTGTCTCGAATACTTGCCCGCGATTCTGTTTCAGAGACAACATTGACACAATGGTTTTACCTTAACCAACGAGATCCAACTGCAAGGGATCTACTTTATGCCGAGACTCCGAATCGTTATATATGGAATGTGAAAACAAAAAAATGGGCTCCGCGGAAAAGAGGGTTCTCAATTGGAAGAATTGTCTATATCCATCCAGGTTGTGGTGATACATTTTATCTCAGACAACTTCTTACCAAAGTTCGTGGGTCAGTTAGTTATGCAGATCTTCGGACAGTCCATGGATTCCCATGTAGAACATATCAAGATGCGTGCCAGCGCCTTGGTCTTTTGTCTAACGATGATGAATGGTT